AATATGTATTTTTGCATTAGTATTTTTTGATAACGCAATGACCTACATAGTTACAAACATCAGACTTAGAAATGTGTATTTTTGTATTAGTTTTTTTTTGATAACGCAATGTTATACAATCAGTGATGCTTGGAGTTAATGAACTATCTTAATCGAGTCGCAGACTTCCACTAACTGTCACGTTGAGCTTTGGTGAGTTTTGTATGCTATACGTTGCAGGCGTACTAATAAATCTATTAAACCTAATAAATGTGCTTAGCTCAGTAATTCTTAGTAAGCTAATATGGTTTTTTTAAAGCTTCATTTGGATAGCTATTATTTTACTAAAGTTTTGGAACGAAGTTCCTCATGGGACGATGCGGAGGGGTACCCTAACCGGGAAAAAAACGTCCGTAACATAAGATTTTAGTAGTAATGCACTATAATGCACAGTGTACGACTTTGCTTTGTAATAACGTACAAAAAATTACATTTTTTTTAACATTCATTGACCACAATCTCAGAGGGTTCGTTTGCGCAATACACTAACTCTTATGCAAATAACCGTGAATGAAGTGTACCACAATAAGTTCGCACATTACCGGATGACCGTGGGTTGTTGCGAAATCTCCAGTTTTATTTTCTTTATACCTCGAATATAGCTTAAAATTAATATTTTTATAATAAGGAACTTCGTTCCTATCCGGTGTCCCACGACACCACACATCTTTTTTAATTTTTTTATCCATAGCTTTAAGTTTTGTAATTCTTCTAATTCTACTTGCTACATTACTAACGCTTCGGTTTCGGGCGCAATTTACTTGCATTTGCGCCTGCAGGTTGAATGTTGCTATAGCGCAGTGTTGCTATGATGTAAGCAAAACTGCTTAAAGTATAGAAAAAATACTCAAATACCTAACAAGATTACATTTATTTTAATAGATATACATATACAACGAGGACTATGAAGAGATGTTTAAATGCATACCGAAATCATTGCTGCCTAAAGAATACGGAGGCACTGAAGGTACCTTACAAGATTTGACAGGTACGATGACGTCACGTATTTTCTGAGTTTGGTAGATATTTGGTAATCACTTTGTTAGTAAAATTTGTTTTTGATTTCAATTATGGCGCTGTACATTGGTAACTTAAATGAATTCTTCAACTGCTCACCAATTTGAACTTGACTGAAAATTGGCTGTTATATTTTTGATCACGTGTCTGTCACGAAATCGTATTAATCTTGAAGAACTTTATTTAAAAAATAATTGGTTTAAATCGTGCTAGTCTGTCAGTTTTTATATTATATAATATTGGCATTACTTTGACGCATATGTTTTAAATATGTAATATTTGTGTAATGTAATGGAGAGTACTTAATGGTAGGCAACGGCTTGGCTGTGCCGACGTCTATGGGCGACGGTAACCACTCACCATCAGGTGGATCGTAAGCTCGTCCGTCTATAAGGGCAATAAAATATCTGCGGTACTTTTTTGCACTTAAGATCCAGGTCTAGGCCTAGGTCATCTGAATCATTAAGTTTTATTCACTTTGCGACAACAAAGGGCTTTAAATTATATTTATCTATATATATAAAAGAAAGTCGTGTTAGTTACACTATTTATAACTCAAGAACGGCTGAACTGATTTGGCTGAAAATTGGTGAGGAGGTAGCTTAGAACCTGGAGAAGGACATAAGATACTTTTTATCACATTACCGTGGGACGTGACATAAAACGTGGTATAACAAAACGCAACTGATATGGAATAACAAAACGAAACTGACAGCTAAACGTAATGTAGTCTATGGTTAATTATAGTAGAATTTTGAAGTTGACCGGTTGATGTATTTGAAATAAACCATGTGGCGGAACAAAGTTCGCCGGGTCCACTAGTATATAATAAAGAAGAGGGAAATTAATAACACTATTTATGTATTGTTTATTATACACAAATCATGTCTAAACATATTTAAAAGAACGACTAAAAGCTGTATTATAAATGACTTATCCTTGTGAATTTTCATAAAATTATTTTTTAGTATTTAGTTAAGCCAGCATAAGTTATTTTTAACTTTTAATTTACAATTTATATTTCAGATCATTGGAAGAACAAAGTGGAAAGCTACCGGTCTTGGTATTTGCGAGAGAATCTAAAAGATTGATGAGATAGAACATACAAAGCCATCTTCAGAAGACCTTATCGTTTGAAATCTTTCCTGAATACTTATTGAAATTTCGTGGTGATAAATAAAGTGAAGAAATAACAATTTTTATTCATTTAGTTTTCTAACATTCCATTTTGGTACGAATAAGATATTATATATTATATAAACGTAAATTACCTAACTATAAAATTATGGAAGGCGCTTTTTAGTTCTGGGCTCTAAACCATTCGTCTACATTCCTGGCCTAGTATCCTTTCATGTTCCTCTTCATCGGTGGGTGGTCGTGCACCCTTACATTACTTGGGGGAAGGGGAAGGGTGAACAAGTCATTTCTGACACAACGTCCGGATTAAATTATCGTGGGGAGATTCTGCTGAGCCAGCCCCCCGTTTCCGCACAGCGTGCGTGGTGGGATGATACCAGGCCTCAATCAATCTCGCACTGCAGGTACCTGACGCTGGATCTAAGCCTGATATCCACAAGGCGACTATTGAGCTTTCCTGGGACAACTCATATACGGACTAAAATGTGTAGAACTGCTGCGGTCTTCCTCGCATTGATCGCAGCCCTCCACCAGTCCATTTATTGTAGTAGAACACCCAACATCTTCTGCATTCTCGAGATGGTCTCTGATGGATTTTTTTTTATTGCTTAGAAGGGTGGACGAGCTCACAGCCCTCTTGGTGTTAAGTGGTTACTGAAGCTCATAGACATCTACAACGTAAATGTGCCACCCACCTTGAGATACCGAAACGCATTACCGCTTCAAGGCAGAAATAGGCAGGGTGGTGGTACCTACCCGTGCGGACTCACCAGAGGTCCTACCACCAGTAATTACGCAAATTACAATTTTGCGCTTTTGATTTTTATTACACGATGTTATTCCTTCACCATGGAAGTCATACGTGAACATTTGTGAAGTACGTATTTCATTTGAAAAATTGGTACCTGTTTGCGGGATTCGAACATCGTTGCATCGCTAGATACGAATGCACCGGACGTCTTATCCTTTAGGCCACGATGACGAACGCGGATGACGCGAAGTAGGCACTGTTTTCGATAAACAGATAAAGTTATCTTCGAGTGCGTAGAGAGCGTCGAGGATTGGGAACAGGATTCTTCTTTGCGGAGCTCCGGCCGTGACGGGGCGTACCGACGATTTACAATCCTTGACCGCAACAAAGAATGTTCTGTCTCTCATGTACGACGCGGCGACGGCAGGTGTAGTCGTGCGTAGGCATGCTTGTTCTTCTTCTAAAAGTAGCAGTAGATATTATGTATAGTATGTAGTAGTAGTGTAACCTTTCCTTACTTTGGCGTGATAATCAGTTATAAACTTACAATTTAGAAAAATCAACCTACTTTGTTTAATGCCAAAAATATACGATACGAGCTAATCTAGTGTTTACCGGAGTCCATAGACAGCTACATGTAAATCCGATTTCTTATTAATTTTTTTTTCTAAGATCAGATTTGGGGGTAAAAATGGGCAGGATAGCAATATTGGCCCGACCGCAATGGCTATAAATAATTGTTATGTGTGCATTGCATTTATTGTCATTAGCATTGCATGTTGTATTTGTCAAGTACGATGTTGAATTGAGAAACATCTGGATTAAACAAACACGAGGTTATTATTTTAATGTGTACAAAAACACACAATCGAACAGTTTATTGTAAAACCGAACTAAGTCCGAACCGAATTAAAACCCAACAGTTTAATGTAGATATTATTACAGATGGACATGTCCTGTTAATATGAGATTATGCAAATTTGAATTGGCCAATCAGGATAATAATTAGTACGTACACTGTTACAGAGATGTGACAGAGATAATGCATTCTCGATCCTGCGAACAGATTGGAAAGCAGTCGACGACGCCCAAAACACGTCATTTCGGATCCTCCAGATCCACTAACGGTGTTTTTAGATACCTCAAGCACCGGTCATCGTTCTAGTCGAACCCGTCGCTTGTGACGAAGGGCTCAACGAGTAAATTAACCCACAGACACAGCCCACTGAGTTTCTCGCCGGATCTTCTCAGTGGGTCGCGTTTCCGATCCGGTGGTAGATTCTGCGAAGCACGGCTCTTGCTCTTAAAGTTCGTGCTAGCAACGTCGTCAGGTTTGAGCCCCGCCAGCTCAGCTACTAGTTAAGGTTACGCTGATACAGCCTCTCTAGACCATCAGCTTAGGTAGGAAAAGAAAAAAAAGGTAATGGATTGTATCTTGTCAAATTGTAATAGGTTTTGCATTTACTTAACATTTTTGCATTTACTTAAGGATGTAGGTATTTTGCGATTTTAAAAAGTTTGAAGCGAAGTTTAATTTCATTGCGTCAACCCCCATTGACAGATGATCCGCTTGTTCATAATAAGATTTAAATAGCCAATGTCATTAACCGTACTAGTTGCAATACTCTGAACGTCCTCTCGATCTTGATTAAAAACGATTGACGTTTTACCTACCTATCTACAATATTATCATTTAAGAAATCATTTTTGCCCGTCTTAAGCCTCACATTACGATAACGCTTCATGTTTATGAGTCACACTAGCGTTGCGGTAGAAATATTAAATACTGGATCTACTTAGACTTTAGTTTTATAATATATTAAGTAGGTTGCATGGTTTTTCTAATGAGAAACTGCTGTGATATAAATGTTAAACTAAATTAAATATTTATATTTATGTACGCAATTCTTTATGAATTGATATTATTATGATACTGATCAATAGTATTATACGCTAGGTTGTCTTGGTACTGTATGACTCGTAGTTTCTGACACGAAGCGTACGGAGTCTACGGAGTGGAGGCGCGCGGGCGCCGGCCACCGTCAGTCGTGTTTTGTTATTAGGATCGTTCGCGCGTCAGTTTTGTTAACTGTGACTGTGTATTTTAGTATTATGTGTACGCTTATCCTTCCCTGGGGCACTTGTGTAACGTAGTGTTTGCCAACTTCGAACAATGACACAAGAAGAGTTTTGTACTCGTTTCAGTGAAGAGCTACGTGTGTCGCCAGAGAATTTAACTGACGATAACGATGTTGTTGTAAGAAAGAAAAGGGTAACGAGTGTTAAAGAGATGATTCTGCGTTTTGAAAAGACAAACAGTAATATTCTCGATGATTCTTTGGAAAGGTCCAAAGAGCCTTCTTTAGGTAGTTTGACGAGTGTTGTCAATCCGATTCAGGCCCATTACCAACATTTATGTCCCGCGGCTAGGTCACAAGATAGAAATTCAAATGTATCGGTTAACTCAATTTTATCAAATGCGTCGGAAAATAGTAACGAATCCAGTTCGTCGGGGTTTGTATCTGATAGAAAATCAGGTGGAGATACCTTATTGCCGCACAGGCCTGCACCGCCACCTCCATTACCTTTCAAAGAAAGCAAAAAATCTCTAAACAACGAAGAAGCGACCTTAAGAGAAAGGCGATTTTCATTCACAACGCCGTCTTCTTCGCCCGTAACGACAAGGCGCAGTCGGCAGCCTCCTGTGATGAGGAAAAAATCAACTGCAACAAATCAAGGACATTCGGGTGAAACGCATTGGTCTTACGGTGTTAGGCAAAGTGATTTAGAAAAGTTATTGAGATTGAAACGTTCAGAAACTTCGGACAATGAAGAAGACGCTAAGATAGTTAACAATATTTCGTTGGAAAGTGATAGTAGCAGTAATAGTAGTAGTAGTAGTAGTGGTAGTGACGATGATTCGCACAGTGATAGTAATTACAGTAACGGGAAAGAATATCTAGTGAATTTGGAAGACGGTAGAACTGATACTCTCTCAACGGATCATTCAACGGACACCTTGATTAATGAAAGAGACAGTGAACCAGGGGATGATTTGTCTATCGGTTCGGGTGAATCTGGTGCTCCCAGCAATTTCGATAATGTTAGCATTAAATCAATTTCATCTTTAGACATGATACCATATCAAAAATATGATAGCATAACTGTGTCTTCGGACGAGTTCGGTTCGGAAGTATGTCACGCTCCTGACACTGAATTTCTAACTGTGAGTGCAGTGAACGAATGGTGCATTTCTCAATCTGCAGCAGAACCGGTATTGCTGCCACTTGAATCCAAAAAAGAGAAATATAAAAGGTATGAACAAATTGCTTTTAGTCTAGATATCGTGAAAATATTTGCGATAACATGTTATTTTTTTTATCGCAAAGATAATACTATCTTTTGAGTACGTATCGACTCAACGGATGTGTCTTTGTTTCATTTTATTGTTGCTAAAGTTGGAATTTCACGAAATTTAATATGGATTTACGCTGCTAAAAGCTGATTATTGTTTCGTTTGTAAAGTTTGTATTATTGCACAACGTTATAACGTAACGTTAAATTGTAACTCAGTTATACCAGAATCAGTCTGAATTTTGAATAGAATGGGTAATTAAATGCACACGAACTAAATTTATAATATGCGATACGTTCGTCATACAGCCGCGTATGCCGTTTCACCTTGATGTTTATTCATAAAGCAATTATGTCGAGATGCTTCTTATATAAAATGTTCATGTTATTTTTCTAAGCAAATTAAAAAACAATGCGTCTTACAAAAAAAAAAACACAATTTGTAGCTAAAGTCATCTTTCCAAGAGCAAATAGTCAAAAAATCCTCAAATACTTTGTTACGCGGGTAGGTGCCTCGTCGACCTTATCAATAATCGCTTTTATTATAATATTCAGATTCGAAAAATGTATGTTACGGACTATTTTTTCTAGTAAAAAATGTGTCGTTTTCATTGCTTGGTAGATTTCTTAATATAGCTTGCACGTCAACTCGGTTCCTCCCGATCCAATATCGCTGCTTTTAAGCATTCCAAGCACCAGTAGCCTTTATCGTCGAATCCATCGATTGCGGTGAAGGGTTCAGCGAGTAAATTAACAGCCCACTAAGTTTCTCGCCGGATCTTCTCAATGGATTGCATTTTCGATCCAGTGGTAGATTCTACGAAGCACTGCTCTTGCTAGGGCTAGTGTTATCAAATTCGTCAGGCAGAGCCCCGTGAAGCCTACACGCTGTTATAGCCCCTCGAGTCTACCAGCATAGTTCGACAAAAAAAGATCTATACTTTTTGATCGAGATTCTTTTTGTCCTCTGGCCTACGCGTGTTTTTATGCATGTGTTTTGACGTGTGGATTCCTATGTGATGATAAAATGTTGCTATTTCCACTTATTTTCAATGAAACCTGTAGGTAACATTGTAACTATACGGCTTGTTGAAAATCTTTTTTTAAATTTGTTATCCCTTCTATTATATTTGTACATGTTGACGACACGTGGAAACATAGAAAAATGTTTTCTTCAGAGCTAAGAATGGTGTCAATTATTCACTAGACGATGACCGGTACAAATTTTTTTTTGATAAATTGTTTTTTTTTAGAAATTATAATATATTTAAATATGAATTGCATATTGATAAAATTATGGAATATTCCAAGATCCTTTAGACATTTTTAAGTGAACACGTGAGTTAAAAACACACAAAATAATATAAATAAACAATTCATTTGCTTCGGGTGGCTTAACAACGCCATCTGCTGAAATAGCTTTAGTGTTATTGTGTCTTTCTCTCAATTATGAAAAATATTATTTTTATTCGCCAATAGATGTTGGGAAGAGTCATAAAGTTGATTATCGATAAAGTTGATTATTGAAAACACGAATAAAACAACATTTTCTGAAAATAAATCGTAGCTAGATCGATTTATCGCCCCCGAAATCCCCTGTATACAAAATTTTATAAAAATCGTTGGAGCCATTTCCGAGATTCAGATTATATATAAGAATTGCTCGTTTAAAGGTATAAGATAAGATTCATTCGTCAATTCCGTTTATTCGTCAAAGATATATTTCGATTTTGACGCACATCGCAGCAAATGTACACTAAAATTATTGATAAAAAAAAATGGATATGGAAGATTCCGTTTTATGCAAGCACCTCTTTTGACATAGTTTTCGCTTGGACCGTTTTTATTTATAAAGTGTTTCCAGATAAACATAAAGTTATTTCAATATCAGCGATTTAAAATATAATAGAATAAATCAAATGTATTTCCTATTTCTGCCGTGAAGCAGTAATGCGTTTTGTTCTACAGGGTAGGGCAGCCGTTGTAACTATACTGAGATCTTAGAACTTATATCTCTAGGTGGGTGGCGCATTTAAGTTGTAGATGTCTATGGGCTCCAGTAATCACTTAACACCAGGTGGGCTGAGAGCTCGTCCACCCACTTAACCCCAAAAAAAAGATAAGAGGCATTACGACGTAAAATAAATCTGGCAAATTTATCAAAAAAAGAAAACGTGTTTTTTTCGTAAAATAGTTTCACTTACATATAGAAAAATAAAGCAATGACATAATGCAAGGGTTTACCACTGTAGTAAGTAGATTATAGTTAATTTTAATCTTGTGAGTTGTGAATTCTTAAATAGACACTTTATTGACTACTACTAACTATATAGCGCTCAATATTTTTGCCATAAATATTGTTACAATGTTTTCATCGTTTTTTTTTATTACTTACATGAAATCAGTTATTACCACAGTGTTCATTAGTTTATAAATATTTTATTATAATAATATAGTAATCTTTTAAAAAATGAAAAAAAAAATTAAGTTGTTTAATGGCCTTAATGGAATTCTTGAACCTAACGATATATGATTGATATATTTGTGAAATATAATTAAAACTAATTTTACCATCTGAGGTAACGATGTCAAGTCGTTTGTTATCAGTTTATTAATCACCGGAAATAGTTTATAAATATAGGTTTTGAAACTATTATCGCAGTGTGGTTAGAAGATTGACTCCGTAACTAACCACAATACCACAAAACTAAAACATGTATTGTTATTTGAATGATATACAATATTCGTATATGTAAATATACAATAATAGCAATATTTAATGATTTAGTATTTCAATATTAAATATTTACATCTGGCCCACTAGATTATCGCCATGTAGCAAATTGAATCGATCATAATTATTTTGATACTTGCATCGGTTTGATAGCAAAAAGCTTTGATTCTCGGTCAAAGCTTCTTCAGAGGTTATCCAGCTGAGTTAAGGCCCTCGCTCTTACCACGGCGGGTAGGTAGGGACTTAGGTAGGTAGGTGGCTTGGGTTGTGAACGCTCCCACCGACGGCGATGTGTTTATTACCCGTGTGATTCCCAAAAAAAAAATTATTTATTTATTATAATCTGAAATTGATAATCCGTTAATTAAAAATTATTTTGCGGAGGACCATGGAAATAACGTCGGAAATAAAATAGTTAAAATTAACGCGAGGTAAAACCATAAAAGTGGCTTTATATATTCGTTTCGGGAAAACAAAAAAAAAATACAAATAAAAAATATGAACCTGTATTTAATTTAGCCTACAAATCGCTTATCGCGCAAGAAGGAAAGCCGGCAGTAAAACAAGAATTTATTTTTCGTAATATTAATGAATATTATTAAAGCATTTAATGTTTGAAACTGGTTCGTTTATGCAAAATCGTTATTATTCTAATTTGGGTATTTTGTTATGACATCACCCGCCTCACTAATGACGCTGCGATATTTGACAATTGTCTAATGACGTTAGATTGTTGGTGGGGTGACGTTTCAACTTGACCAAGCTATTTGGCCACTGTATCTACTTTCTAATGGAATGTGGTCGAGTCGTGACTCACCGTATGTATTTAACAACATATTTACTGTCTCTCTCTCTTTGAATTCAATAACAAATATATTCAATTAAATAAAAGTGAAAAATCATTTTCATTTGTATACTTTTAAAACGAATTTATTATTCGAGAATTAGCGTTACAGATGTTAGAGTTACAACACAATAAATATTTCGACATCATGTCTACTACGAGGGGGTCGCGATTTCGATCCGGTGGTAGATTTAGCGAAGCACTGCTCTTGTCAGAGCTAGTGTTTTTTTTATTGCTCTTGTAGGCAGACGAGCATACGGCTCACCTGATGGTGAGTTGCTACCGTCGTCCATGGACTTCAGCAATGCTAGGGGTAGAGCCAAGCCGCTGCCTACTGTTAGTGTTAGCAATTTCTCTCAAGTTAAGCCCGTGAGATCACCTACCCGTCGGTTCGTAGTCAGAATAGCCCTGTAGGCTATCAACGATTAGGTAGGGAAAAAGAGACAACTAAGAGCAGGGACTGACCGTTTGAGCGAGAGTGCAGGGAAGTTGTTTATTGGGTAGGGCCCTAAATACCATCCTTGAGGCGTTCCGCTTCTAATATCTGCAGACCGTCCAGTCCCACATACCCCGTACACCTTCTAGGCTCAAGGATCTCATAGGATGGTTGTCTGCCAGCTTTTTTGCACATCTTGTGCGTTTAAAATTGACTAGCAGCGACCGAGCCCATTGTGTTTAAGCTCTTTTTTGTATTGAAGAAAGCACAAAATACAAAACAAGAGAAATACTACCTTGTTGGTATTATACTTTTTATTCATTACCATTTCTATGTTCTGTGATTAGCTGTAAATGCTCTGAACTCTCATTGATAGTAATATAATATAACATACTAACATATTTATTTGTTTATGGCAAAATAACTATGCTTTACAATAAATGGATTTCTGTCTTTTTGCTTTCTTTACGAATAAAAGTAGGTAAGTAATAGTAACAACAACTTATTTTATCAAGCTATGTCTTACAAACTAAAAATGTAATGGACGCAGCGTACAATGTAAGTCTGTTTAAATAAAATATTTCCTTGGGCCACCGCAGTGACTCCTATTTCTATTTGTTCGTAAAGTAATATAATGTTGTATAATATAAAGTAAAATAATGTTGTCGTTATACTGAAATATTTAAGAGAATGTCTAATCATACATTTCTGATACCAAAACAACGTTTATAAATATTTCATTAATATACAAAAATCGCTCATCAAATTTGATAACTTAAAATATCGGCGCTGAAAAGTAGACAACAAGTTAGTAAAATTAAGATAAATATGGGAAACTGTTCCATTAATTCTATTACCTACTAATTCTATAAAGGATGAAATTAAATAAAATTATGAAAAAGTATCATGATTCATTTAATATCTAATTTAACTTAGGTTTTGAAAAT